TTCTCGAGCTCCGCTAGCATCCGTCTAGAGGCGCCTAATATAGGCAAAATAGCGCTACCGACGAGGGCAAGGGAGACTGGACTGGCCATTTCGGGCTTGTTAGCCGTCGTCGGCCAGTCATACCCAACCCCGAAGTGCGCAACACCTGGGGCTTGATCCCGCGACCTGTTGGTTTGGAATCCAACGTCCTAAGCACTGGACCACGGACTCGTCCTGTCGACTGCGATCGAGCATTTACAATGGTTCCGTAAGGCGATCGATGAGCGCCTCTTTGCCATTGTTAATATACCCGACCGATGATACGATTGTACGCCAAGAACGAGTCTCCATAAACCGAGCGAAACAGTTAAGCTAGAATGGGCTTAGCTGACAACTTCGGCCAGTGAAGGACGAAGGCGATGCGCGAAGTCAATAATACTGAAATTCACACCAACTGGAGATGTGCCGAGTAACAGTTAATGCACACCATCGTAAACGAATATGACAAAATTCGAATTAAGTAACTGACTTCTAAATGAGGTAAATATAAAAAACACACCGGAAAAGAAAAGTAGTCAGAGTCTGCCACGTGCAGATCTTCAGGTCTAAGTCGAGGCGCAGCCACTTGTAAACCCTCCTATGGCCAAAATAAGTCGGTGCGAGCTATTAGAAAAATTTGCATAGACTACATTTCTCCGGAAGGGCGAGCAGTGGAATGTCCGCGCCCAAGAACCCATCATCAGAGGCAACAGCAGATACGGGTGATTCACGCACAAGGGGCTGCAGTATTTATAGGGCGTAGTTGCCATGCTACCGCATACCCATGGAGGAGTGATATCGGCAAGCCGCCAAAGTTGTGGCCTTCTCCACCATGCATCAGTCGTGTTGCTAGGGTGGAGGAGCATCCGCACTGCCCTACTAAATTTCCGAGGCAGTAAATGAGCTAACACGGAGTAACTCCCTCAGAACAGTATTTCCGGCTCTGTCCGGAAGTTCACATATGAATGTTCATGCTGAAGTCCGTCATCTGGCACCTGTGCTGTTAACGACAAATTCTTCAGTACTTGTACACTGCTGGCTGCCTGTTGGCAGTTTATGAATACCGGGCGATTATTCCGCGGTCAAAATATATTTAAAGTTGCGAAAATTCCCAGGGAGCAATTCAAAAGAACATTTGGCGAGCTTACGCGTGCTTTAGATAAATTCTCATCGGGCCTGTACATTTATATGGGAGTGAGGCACCAACTGAACGTGTGAGTCATAAGGACAATCGATTACGGTTCGTCCTCTCCTACAAACGGGGTATGTGAATAGAGTGGGGGTGGGCGGGGGAGAGAGGAGAAGAGGCCATCAGTGACAGTGAAGGTTAGGTTGAGCCGTGTCACAAGGGGGGAGAGAAGGGGACGGGGGCACGGAGTCCTGTATACAGTTAATCGATCCAGGCTCGCGGTAGACGCGCAGCGTGCAAGAAGTTCTTCTGCGCGCACAGGACCGGCCTCTGCAGCCTGATGGCAGCCGCTTCTGCTGTTGCTAGTAAGCGCTGACCCAGTCGCTTAGGATATTTAAGTGGGACCCTGTAAATCACACGGAAGGCTTCGTTGGGATCCACACGGTGCCCAGAATCGACCATGTGTGCTAGGACGGAGCTGTGTATGCGCTTAACTTCACCCTTCCTCAGCCATGCCGTCAGGTGTTCTCGCATTCCTGCGAATTGGTGCCGACTCGTACGGCCAATGTAGTCTGCTCCACAGGAGCAAGTAAAGGAGTAAATTCACATGGAGGTGGGCAATGATTTACCGTACTCACAACACAGGTATTAGCTAAAAGCCCAGACACGCGTGTTTCGCCGATTTTATGCCGTTGCCTGAGAGGGGTTCGGCTCGTCAGTGGGTCCCCCAGTTTTCCCCGTGCGTTTTCTGGTATATAAACTCCAGTTTCAACTTGCTTTGATTAATTTCCGAGGAAACTAGTGCGCGAACTTGGAGTAAATCTTTCGAAGCAGACCTTTTCAGGCAGGTGATCTGAGATGGTAGCTTATCCTTACTTTTCCCTTGTAAGACGGGGTTCGTCGTAAACAGTACTTGAATTCTTGCTGCCGGGAAGGCCTATGAAACGGCCGAGCCAGAAAAGCTCTGCTCTGAAGGATTTACTCCAAGGTAGGACATTAATTTCCTCAATAAGTAAATAAAGGAGCATGAGAACTTGAGGTAATGTACCAGAGGCACGGTGGGAGGGGGACGGTTTATGACACACTGATGAGTCGAAATCCTCGCCACTGCGTCCTACAAGATCGGGGCAACACGCGTGTCTGGGCTTTTAACTGGTACCCCTGCTGTTTGTATCGTAAATCGGTAACAACTGGACTACTTGCTCGTTGGGAGGCCAAATAAGCCAGGCGCTCAGGAAGCAAGGACGGCAGGTGGTGCCGAATACTGGGCCAGCCATCTGTTTATCCTCTTATAGCTAAGGCAGCAAAACTAGCCAATAGGGAGGCCTCAGGGCAAGGAGGCTCAAGGAGGCAGGATATGGCTGGAGTCATACTTGACTTCACCAACTGGATGAAAACAAATCTTGAGCGGATGCAGAAGATGAAACTGCGATACTGTTGCCACGGACGTTTTCTAGCACACAAGCAGTCAGCACTAAGACTGGTTTAACGACAAAAATGAAGCACTGCTTCATCTGCCCTTCGCAAAAAAGCAATTTCAAGGACCCATGTGGACAAAGCCATCTCCACAAACGGAGCCTCAGACTCCTACTGCTGGAGAAAAAGGGGGAATTCGCGGGAGATGCAGAATTGGCAGACGCGAAAGGCAGGGAAATCCAAGAAGAGGCCGACCGTAGTGCAAGGAAGGACTTGTTTGTGGCCATCGCAGCAGTCGAAGATCCTCGATTTACGAGAACTGCGACAAAAGCCGGGCTCCCCTTACACGCCCACATCCACCGAACATTCAAGCAGGGCGTGGACCAATCACCTCACATGCGCGCACTCGACGACTCCTTAAACAGCATCTATCGTTTATGGAATAAGCACGGGGCGAAATATGGCTTTCAATGACGGGCAAAACAGCATTGGGCGGAGACTCCACGCTGTGTTGGTCACTGCGTCAGTCTCAGTTCTTGACTAGGACTTGATACCTGCCGATGGAAGAGGTAGGCTGACCCAGCGCATATACGACTCGCCATAAACGACGTAATACGCTTCGAGTTATAACAATGGATCAACACACGTAGCCCGGAAGGCTGCCAACAGATGGGACAACGCGATCTTCCCTTGGACTAAAGGTCTAGCTGCAATATGTTCCTCATGAGAACTCTCTTTGATGAGGGAGGCAATTCATTCACATCCCGATTCGTGTGTGCAAGGAGGAACGTGCATGGACAGTGTAGACGTGGGTTCGGCCACGACAACAGCAGCACCTAACCTCCAGTAGTCTCAACCCAAGAGTCCCCCTGTATCGTAAGGCGACTCGTGTGTAAGTCAGCTGCAACTCCCGGACACCGGCAACTACCCTTACTCGCGAAGAACTTATACACAGTGCCGGTGCCGATATTGTGTCGACTAGCACCTCCGCAGTGGACGGTAACAGACGACAAGGAGATGCCCCACTAAGAACACTCCATGAGCATGGCTCGCTAAAGTGAGCAGAAGTAGCAGACACACCAGCCGAGCCGGACATTTTTGTGGCAGCCTTGATAGACAGCCCAGCCGTAGTCACTGTTAATTCAATAATTGGTAACCCCGCGACCTTTTTTGGCGCAATACCTGACCCCCCGTAAGCCGATCCAATCAGCATAATCGGCTAGATCGCAGTTAGTAGCCAGGAATGGGGAAGCGGACGGCGACCTTAACCCTTATCCTAACCCCAACCTTAAACGTTAACCCTAATGGCAAACCTAACCCTAACCGAAATCGTAAACGCAACCTTAGCCCTTAGACTGAATAACCTAACCGTAATACTGAAACCTAGTCGTACGCTAACCATAACCCGAAAACCTAAGCCTGAGGGCATAATCCTAACTCGGAAATCGGACATCATAAACCGGTGCCCTAATCCTAACCTCAAACGCAAAACGGAAGCCAAATGGGCCAGATGTGATTATGGAGCCCCACAAAATAGCTCCAGTAAACAAACCCCCACCACCTGTCATACGGGGCCTGGCTACTAACTGCGATCTAGCCGCATAATCGACCAAGGACATGACTACAGTGGGTGAAGCCGAGATCCACTGAGGCTCGAGACTGTAAGAGATGGCCGTAAAATGATTCGTTGAGCGCGACCGCTACCGGTTCTGACTATGCATGTCACTCGAAAGATTGTTCGTCCGCAGTGCGAGGGAACACGCTTACCCCGTAGTAGACTTACGAGCCACGCACGCACGTCTTAGTGTCCTCGGTCTGCAAGGGATGATCACGATCCTCCGCATCAGGCCGGTGTCGCCACGAGGCTAACGATGGCCGAGACCAAATCTAGCTGACTTTCCCCAATGGTAAAATCGCGACTCCCAAGCAGCACACCCAGGGAGAGGCCCTCATTGGGATGCGCTTGTGCTCCGACCTTTCAAGTGGTAATTTCTTCTGCCCCCCGCCCCACCCCCACCAACAGAGACTGGAGTGTCCTACACGGAGCCCTTAATATACGACGTATGAGTTGCACACGAGGACGACTCGAACTTAGGTTGTGAGATCATGGTTCTTGAGGGGCAACGCTCTTCCTGTCCTCAAAATTACACTGAGTACAGTGAGGCTGGCTCGAAAACAAAGACCGGCTTAAAGCACGTAGGCGGCCGTGATATTGCAAAGTACACGTCTTTCTCGACGTCAGCTGGTTAACAATGCCCACACAGAAGATAGTGTGAATGGAATTGAGAACGTGTTAAACAGTGATGGCCGAATCTCAAGTAGCAAAATAAGCGGAAAGCAGTGTTCGGCATGACAGCATGACGTGAAATAAATGCACAGGTGGAGAAAGTTGCGAGGGGGTGGCGGCAGAGGGGCGAAGCGGGCGCGGGGGTGGGCGTCAAGTGGGTGACTGCCATGCATCCATTTCCCAATCTGCCAAAAACGCGGCGAAGCGATCCTCGGTCTGGGCAGTAACACGGGGTGGACAGCGGCCGCCGTTGGCGCTCAAAAGTTTCTTCAGACGCAGCTTCTGGCGCCGCATGCGCGCTCGCGCGGAGGCTATGTGAAACTTGGAAAGCGGGGCATCCGGATCGGCTTGCACCTCACAGAGGATGGCGGGATCGTTAAATGAGAGTATCCGCAGGGGTGCAGCCGGTTGTGCAGTTGTTGGAGGCTGCAACTTTGTGCGACGCCCGCGGGGCGGCGGCGGCGGCGGTGGACGACGGGCAGGGCCGACCCTGAGAGCAGCTGCCTCAGAAATGGTCTCTAGACCGCGTAGGGCAGGTGGGACGTAGTTTTTATTAACGTTCAGCCAATCCGGAATCTGGAAAAAGGGGGGGGGCGGGGTGCGATAAGCAACAAGCGTTTGGGATATGCAGGGCGCAAAAAATCCATTTTTTCCTGTTAAACGGAAGTGATGACTCCTTCTGAATGGTGAGTCATGTGGGTGCCTCTATGCCAGAGATCACATAACGTATACCCATGCGCCTTTTCCAACAAACTTTGGTAGATTACTTCTGAGAGAGTTGAGTCTTCATATCTGGGGGGAGGCCTTAAACCTGTTCAAAGAAGCCCCGTTCGGAAGTTATATCGGGGGCTTGCTGGGGTGAGTGGAGAAAGAATCAAGCCGAAACATCAAACACCTGACATGTGCCCCCAGAAAGCTGCGTCCATCTCAGCATAGGAGCCGGTTTCATTCAGACCTGGTTGATGACACCGTGGGATTTTTCACCCTTCCCATCCACGAGGTCGTCTGACTGTATGGTTTAGCTTTGAGCCTGGGTCAAGCAGTTCGACGCAGCCGGCATACTTAGGACCTAGGACTATGAGGCTTGATCAATCGACTATTTAACAGTGCATTCGGCTTCGAACTACGTGAGGGACGCTTCGGTTTTTTCACTGTTGAGACGATCATACCTGAGGCTGACTATTGCGATCCATACGCCTACAATACGAGAGACAATACAATGATGAAAAGAAAGACGAAGGCCGAGGAGATGATCATACGGCAAGGCAGGTGCAAGAAGCCTGGATGTCTACCGACTGTTCTGTCAACCGCCACATCAATTTACCTCCCCCTTATCTGGTTTTACGGACATTCTTGACGGGGGACAGTCACGGCGCGGGACAATCGGGGCCGCCAATTATCACCGCGGCCGACGAAGATGGGCGGGATTCAGGTCACGGTGACATGCGGGTCGGATGCAGCCACACAGGCGGCATTGATGGGCCAGGCTTTGAACAAAGTGCGCCATAAAAGGAAAGCTGTGTGCACGACTGCTCAGTCTCTGAAGATGGGTAGAAGAAACGACTACCCGAAACGTCAGACCTCAAATACACCTCTCCCGGTGAACGCCTCCTCTTCTTTTGATATGCCACCCGGGAATCGCATTTTCACCACTATTAAAGACGAAGGCGTTGAAAGGGGACTTATCCCGAGGCCGTTGCATCGGTGAGCCCTATAGCTTCGTTACGTACGCATACATGGCGGTTATGATGTCCAGATTTTTGGTAAAACGATTGTAACTGGTCGTGTCACGATAGTGTGACAAAAAATCAATTACGGAGATCATAAAGGCCGTAAAATTGTATCGTCGTCGTTACAGTTATGCTCGACTCCAGCCTGTCCGTCGGGTGCGAATAGGCAATCCGGTTCGGATCATCTAGAGATCGGACACGGGAATATGGGACTCACCGTAAGACAGGTGGCCTGGAGGTAAATTACAGGGGTACCTATTTCCCCTCCCCTCCTGAGAATTAAGGCAAGACCACTTTTAGTGTAGAAGATCCACATTTCCCCGGGGCCAATCCATCTAGATGTACTCATGAGTGAAAGCTCACTGGTCTGCACGTGAGGGTTGGGGGTTCCTCCCAGCTTTTTACTTTGCTTACACCATCGAACGACAGACAACTGGACACTATCCCCCGTTGGGATAGACGGGTGTGTGTGTGTGTGTGTGAAATGTCCAACACAGGGCAAACTTGCGTACAAATTGTGAGACAGTATGAAATCATGTAAGCACGAAATCCACGCATCCAGAAAGGCATTACACCCCGGAACGGACTCGGCTCGCCAGTCCTTTTTAGAGCTCACATGGGGTGATCCTAGCCACTTGGGCTACCGGATACCGTCCGCTCTGTGCGCGAGCATTCAAATACTGCCTCACCTTCGACGCGCGAGGCGAGTCTGCTGCGGCCATAGAAACGCAATAGCCAACCTTCCAGACTTCGACGGCTGGGCCCGTGGCCGTGAGGCATTGGGTGAGAATTTCTAAATGCACACATGCACGTGGAAAGGTTGCAGCACTAAGCGACACGCAATGCAATCCAGAAACAATCCAATACATGGCAAGCATGCTGAATGTCTCCTTAGTTACTCATTCAAGTCACGTTAGGGAAAGAAGCATTACCTAAGTAGTGTGCACTGTTTTCCACTTATTCTCTATATTCTTAAATCAGTCGAGGCATATTTCAACGAAAAAATACACATAAATTTCTCCTTTTTGTATTCGTTTGGTGCAAAGAGATGGCTTCTTCGATGTGTGTGTACTTGGAGGAGGGGCATATTTTTGCGCTTAAGAAAGCCCCGCAATTCATGGACATTTTGAATCAACGGACGTCCTTACTTTTTGCTGAGGTTTTTAAACCACTTACGATGTACAAAGTTTCTTTATAATAGTAACTACGATGTCCCATGATCCTTAAAATATATGAGAATAAGGATGGGTCAAGTTGTATGGTTTTTAAGTCGCACTAAGAAGCGCGCAGATATTGCACCATCACCTCAAGCATTATTACAACGAACTTTGTTAGACCGAGCTAACCCGTCAGTCAGTTTCGAATAGGCCTGAGGGAAGGAATCACTCAGCGCGTTACATACGTTTAGACGGCCAAATATGGACTCACCGCATTGAGGTTAAAGTGCGAGGACTGCTGTGCTGCTACTGGGCTGGGCTGCGGTCCACAAAACTCCGGCACTGACTCGGCTTGCACAACCGAAAGATCACATGGAGGGACGGTGAGGTCGGCGGCAGGGGCACAGGGGGTAGAGGTCGCGACTTCCGTAGGGGGTTCAACAGGGGAAGATGCCTCGTCCTTATTAACAGACTGGGACATGTCCTCTTCTGAGGAAGTCTGGGGGGGGGGGCAGGGAAATGCAGAATAGATAGGAGAGGCTATACGAGGAGGCCAGCCTCGCAGGTAGGAAAGGGTAAGTGCCACAGCAATCCTCGTCAGGCAGTGGCCTGGGATATAGACATCTTTCTACTTGTCAGCGGCATCAGGCTGCATTGAGTGCAGGCTATCATCTCGTAAGATGAAGAGCAAGAAACACAAGAGGCTACTAAACTATAGTAGGTGGGCTAACTCATGAAATGTTAACCCTTAAAATTCAATTCAATTATACTTCATGAAAAACATGCATAAATATATTCATTCTCTTACTCACTCGGTAGAAAATTACGTCTTCTTCCAATTTTATACTCGAATAAAAGGTATAGTTCGGTTTTCAAAAACTTTTCCAATTCTGGGATAATTTTGGACCCAAACCTGCCGTTACACTTGCATTCAGGGTTTCCAAACTACAAGCCGTATATGTTCCGCGTATGGAAAACCATAAATTTCTCTACGATATTAAGAGGATACCATATGGGGTTCATAGGATTTAACAATGGATTTGAGCCATATTGTGAACTTAACAAGCCACTTTGATAAATTCAGAGACACGACGTTTTATGGACGGCCATTTCACTGTATTAAAAAATCGCACAATTAAAAAAGGTTTTTAAAACCGAATAAAATCATTTCTTCGAGTGTAAATTGAAAGACTTAATTATCTGCCAGATGCGCAAAAGAATATTTTTATGAATTCTTCTTATGAAATATAATTGAATTTTTAAGGTCATCAAAAATCAATGAGAAAAATTCATGCTACTTAAGTATTCATGTTTTGGAGAGCATCGTTTTTGAATGCAGCCGGAGAGAAGTTTGTTCGGAAGCCGGCATCCTGAGGTAACTGAATTATTATAGAATTATGATTAGTTTTACGACCATTCTTAATTAGTCTTTTCGAAAAGAAAACGTATTTCGGAATTTCGGTTGACATTTCATGAGTTAGCCCACCTACTGTAGGTTGTGACGCCGGCAGTGCTTAAAGACGCAACAGTCCGAATAAGCCCCTAACAGGAAAACAATGACCTCCAGAATAGGTAGGAGACGAAGTGTGATATCCTACGGGTTGAAATGACATTGTGGTCCACCTGCGTCGTCGGTTTTAATGCCAGACAAATTCCGGCCGACAGAGCCTTACATAGGGGGTATTCACTGATTGTCGAGATTGGAACTCCCGATTCCTTAACGCGTAAACAGCCAAGTGGGAGTAGTGTGTACTGGCCGGACGGACGCATGCGACCGCGTAGGCAGGTCGTAACTGCTAACTTCCCAGCCATCAACATGATCGCACCAGGCTAAGTGAACTACCCCTTTTCAACTAAAAAAATGGCTACGGTGGATGCCCCTTCAGTCTAGGAGAGCGGCGCAGGCGTGGACAGTCAGTTTCAAGCTGACGCCACCTAGAGCCTACAAGTGACTGAAATTAACACCGCCCAGGAGTCCTCGTAATGTATGCCATCTTCAAAACCGAGCGAGATCCCGAGGCAGCCAATCCTTTGAACTACCTCAATAACGTAGACTTGGAGGGCGAGTTCACTGCAGTTTTGGCAATTGTCCCGCGGGAGGTATAAGGTACAAGTCCCAAGCGTAGTAAAAATGTGAGCATCTGATACCGCTGCTTTCTGGCTACCTAGCAACAAAATTCATCCGATCTAGCTATCCGAACTCCACTCAATACTACTCAGAAGCAAGTGTGAGTTTCTTGAAAGGTTAGTATCGACAAAAAATTGGGGCCCAGAAGCAAGGGGAATCCACGGTGGTGGTCTCGTGCGCAGGCAATCTGAAGTCGAGAGCCGAAAATCTTCTGTGAGTTAAAACGTTTGCGTTAATAAACCACAAGCACGTGGAAAATAGTAAATGGCGGTGCGGACGAGTAGTGTTGCTGATATAGAAGAAGAAAAAGATGACTAAAACCCACCAACTGGGATAGATGGGGCAAGATCGACTTCCTAGAAAGCCGGCAACTTCTACGAAGACTGTAAACTGAAGCACTGTCCACTTCGGTGCTTGAAATGATGTTCGAGACATCAAGGCCAGCGCTGAGAGAAGAACGCCGTCGTTTCCTCTGAGAAGTCTTGAGGGTCATGTCCTCACTCGGTAGTTCTAGATGCCTTTTTGAGGTAGGCATTCTGTGAGAGTGAGAAAAATAAATAATACATTATCATCACCTGAAACAGAAGGCACTATAATGAAGCATTTCATTGCGTTGAAAAGTCCTGTGAGAGAATTGTGGAATAAAAGCATTGCTAAAAGCATGCTAAGCATTGATTACCTTCAGCTACCCACTCAGGAACGTTTTCACTCGGGCTATGCTACTGCACATAGGAAAATTCAGAGGCAAACCCTAGGACCCAGACATGATCCGGAAGTATCCAGCTGGTGGATGATGCATTGAGCGCAAAATCTCAGAAAACCTAGGCCTCAGTCACGAGGGTCGGTGCGGATCAACCTAAACCGAAACTGGTATAACAGGGACTCAGAATTGGAGTGGGCTTAAACTTGTGGCAACGTAAGGTATCTCAATGCTAGGGGGCGCTCACTGATCATTCTTACGGAACTCGCTCGTTCCGTTGTGCCTTACGGGCTCTTTCTCGAGCCCAACCAGCAGCCGCACAGCGGCGCAGGATAAAGGCAGAATGTTATTACTGACAAAAACAGGAAAGAGTGAAATGGCCATTTCTTGATTATTAGCCGTCATCAGCCAGTCATACCAACCCCCGAAGTGTGAAACACCCGAGGCTCGAACTCGCGACCTGTTAGTTAGAAGTCCACGCCTCTAACCGCTGGGCCACGAGCCCGTTGCACTATCGGTTTCGATCGGGAATATACAATGGCAGAGGGACGCTCACCGATCGTTCTTGAGGAACTCATTCGTTCCGTTGTGCCTTACGGGCTCTTTCTCGAGCCCAACCAGCAGCCGCACAGCGGCGCATGATATAGGCAGACTGGCTGACGAGTCTAATAAGCCAGAAATGGCCACTTTGTCGGTAATACCATTCTGCCTTAGGCATCTTAACCAACACCCTACGACATCTCGACCTGCGCAAGCGACGACGGAGTGGGCGCAGCACCGGTGACTTATGAGTGGATTGGTTTTGTGAGACAGACTTACGTAAGGTGTACCGCGCTCGCTCCTCCACCCACCTTTCTGCGGTGGCAAGACAATATCAAGACGGTCGAAGGCAGACGCCAGCGCAGCGACTGACAAAGTTAAACAGCCCGTTGATGCGTGCTACACACTACCGGGTCCTCACATCATGTGCCAGACTTCTGTACGAGTGGTTCGGACCTCATATCGGTGAATGTTATGGAGAGAGGGCACTGAAACTTGATTTTCACTCCTGAGAAGGACCGACTTTTCCCGTCAGTTAGCAGCCACGACTCCCAACGCGTCAAATGCATTATAGCGAGGAGTGTTCTGATGCGCCGTAAGGAGCGATTGCTCGGTCGGCCTCGCCCTCTTCCCTCTCTTTCATGCACCAGTGGACTGCTCGAGCCTGCCAACCAAGGGCTGGTGTATTGGGCTCAGTGGTTGACGCAGTGTGAAGGCAGTGCAGTGGGCTCAAGCGAACCCTGAGCCGCCCGACAAAAAGGTGCCGGATACCAGTCTGATCCCTGTATTGGTCCAGCACATCTGGAGCGCATCCCGTCGTGGGAGCCAACCAATCACCTGGATAATCACAGATAGACAATTCTCCGTTCAAAACGATAGGTCCGCCTACCGCCTCACTGAGTGAACGATTGCCTTACTGGATTGTTCAACTCACTAGTTCTGCGCGTGTTCAATGACACTTCTGCTGCAACTGCTGAAAAAATTCGAGCAGAAATCCGGTGTGCACAAAAAAACAGTCTTTGGTGAGGACGAGCTGCTAATTGAATCCTACAGCAGTCAATCTGAGACTGTGTTCGAATGGCTTGGGAATACATTGTGGTATGGCAGCACAGTTCCACATGGCTGGGGCAGTCCTACTTTACTTCCCTTCTTTAAAACGGGACACACCAGAGTACAGTAGTTATTGTGGCATCAGTTCAATTAGCGTAGACGGAAAAAAGTCAGATATTAGCTTTCTGAGCATTTTGTGCCCACAGGCAAGAAATAATCCAACCGGTTTCTGCGCTGGCCGAGTTGTAAACCAGATGCTCCACGCATGATGAATTCCAGGACAAAAGGCATTATTTTCAACAGACAACTGTTTTCTTAATTTTGTCACATCCCACGGCGCGGCCAACTGAGGTCCTTTATGGAAGGTCATGGGAACTAACGGTATCCCTAAAAACTCGTGTCGCAACATCAGCTCGTGCGAACCTGAATTCGAGCGCATGTCGATACAAGGGGATGTCTCGTCGTTGATCCTGGCTTCCGGCGCGGGCATGTCTTCTTACCCGTCCTTCTCAACTGTGCGGTAGATCCAGCATTGTCAACAGGATTCCCCGGTAACGGGGACGATTAGGTAGGGTAAGACCCTTTTGTCTCAGACGTTGTTCCACTTGAAGGTATAATATGCCCTTGGTCACATTGAAGTCGCATACCGCAAAGTGGGTGTAAGACTGAGCGTTCGGAAAAAAAAACAAACAGCAGTGCGACAGTCGTGTACCGCAGGCTGTGTTGTCCTGTCCGTGGGTGACAAAGAACTCGAGTGATCAAGTTTTTTGTTTGTTTCTGTTTACCTGTGGCATCGAGTAACTGGTGTTAGAAAATAGTCCGCTGGATAAAACTCGTAGACGCTCTCATTGCCTGTGGCCTCGCAGACAGATTTGGCAGAGGATAACGAAATGTTGTATGAGACAACGGTAATGCTCGTCCTGCAATACGACTGCATAAGACTCTGGAAGCGTATGCCATGCCAGGATCAGCAAACCATGCTTCCCGCAGTCTGGTATGTGCTGGCAGTTCTCTGATACCTGGTTTCCTGTCGGTAGATGCTCTTGCACTCCCGCTAAGTATACAGGTCATGAGCATGGCTGTCCTGTCATCTTCGTTCTCAAAACCTTCGCGGTGTTGTTTTTGTTGGTAAAAAGCCTCGTCGGTAGTTTTGCTGACCAGAGGATGTGAAGTAGGACTTCAAGGTACGGGCTCGCCCGCACCATTCACCGCCTCCGGGCTTCTTGACTCTGTCTTGACACTGTGTTCAGGTAGGTGGGAAAAGACTGCGGCAAGTGAGTGCAAGTCACCGTGCCTGTTTCGTCTTGCTGTGGAGCACATGATGGACATCGTCGGATGCGACGATCGAACCGTCATATTACTGCAAAATTTAGCCTATACGTACTGTAGACTTGAGGAACAGGGACCGGCTCGACAGCTGGTGGTGTCGGAGAATACTGCATCCTCGGGTCAGGGATTGCGTCGCAAGCATGAAACTCCATCGCCGGTCAGAGAACCCCCTGCTGATGGTATAGCTAATAGCCGCCATTTTTGGTAGTTAAGTCACGTACTCCGTTGGCTTGAAGAGGGACTTACCGGAGGGCTGTCTATCCGAATCTCTGTCAGAGTTGGTGCGGCCACCATAACGAGCAATGTGTACAGACATTTTAGTCAATGCTATGATAGGGTGGTGGGCCCAGCTGTCTTTGGTTTTTTGGAATGGAATCTCAGATATGCGACGGCTGCTGAGGACCTAGTCAGCGACCGTTGAGCACGGACGGCATCGGGTCGCGACACCGCGAACTCTCGGGCCAGATAAATTGGCATTGTTGTTGGCTAATATGATCAAAATAGGTTTCTATGTGACATCACGGCCTTCATATACGAGGTCCGATGCAAGGTAACAAAAATGTTGACTTCCGATGAGAAACAGTGATAGTTTGGTATCCGTGAGTTTGGCGGGGGCTTCTAAGCAACAGAGGTAAAAATACCGACGCTTCGGGGCCGGATTTGAACTCAATGAGGTAACTTGTTTTGAAAGTTGGCTAACACAGCTTTCATCTAGTCTTCGTGACTTTTCTTAGCTAAAGAGGACTGCGGAGGATACAAATTACATTGATCGGATGTTGAGATTGCTTTTTGAGACAAGCGGTGCGACATATGGCGGTGAATAGTGTCCAAACGCCTGTGGTCAAAGGCGGCAATATATGGGGTATCAGCAGGCAGATAAGTCTGTTTTTGCATCAGAGGATGTCATCGTGTATGAATGCTGTCTTCGCGTACGTCCTGTGGTCCACATGACATGTGACGGAGCATCGTTAACTGAACTAGGCGGAACGCTTGGTTCATCTGTGGTCGTCCTCTAGTTTTCCAGCAGATGTTCCACCTCATCTACACAATTACGCAGATAGCCTTCGACTGTGTGCGTACTCTTTCCGAAGGACTACCACATGGGAGGTCGCGTAGGCACTCAAGGGTGGGCCCAAAAGAGGTATCAGGACATTCAATGAGATGAATTGTGTAGACCAAAATTGGACACAGTCTATGACTGTACCTCCCAACTGTCCTAGCCCCTCCATAATGTTTTGCTTAAGTGACAGACAAACGTATACGTTGTTTTGCATGGGGCCACTAATGCAGGCCCGTTGGGGGTCTTTGGGGAAACGTAAAATACACCGTCGAAGCCGCTTTAACAGAGTTCAGTACTACTGAAGGCGGAAGGACGTCCGATGCATCTGGATGCGTCAAAAAAGCAGCGATCGTATATGAAAGTGCAGGGACTTCACCTAACTGCGGTACAGAACTTAAATGCATACTCATTAAAACGTCGAGGTCCAGTATCATAATTTCCGGTCCAACGAGGATGTAAGTCAAATTCAACTGTGACTCATTCCCGCAGCGAACTTTATCCGGAATTAATTAAATAAGCTCTTTCCTGGCTTAAAATGCAATTGAAAATTGTTCCACGATGATGTTCATGGTACTTGGACGACATATAGCGTCCCCTAAACACATAAAGTAAATTACGGCGAAGAAACTCAAGAATTCGATACAAAGTAAACCAGGTAATCAGATGCCGCAGGCCTGACTAGTGTTGGTCCAGGCTAGTAGGGTTTTAGCTCACTTAGAGCACTCATATTTCCGTAGCATTTTTCCCGATGGACCAACTCGGGTTGCACAAGAACAAATTCCGCGAAAGTGCAAGGATTTAATCTCATTAAGTGTCTATAAATCAGCTAAGAAGTGCGGCACGAGTAATAGACGTCTAAAAGTGTTATAATTGGGGACGGAAGACGGTGAATTATTTAGTGCTGAATGGTAACGGCAATTGGCGGAAGCTTGCATAATGAACAATAGGAGTGGGAGGAGATATCAGGCATCAACTGCCTGCAGTCACTGTTCTTTCCCGATGGTCCGGCCCACATTATGAAAGGCAGCCAGGTCGTAATTCACCTTACGCAGGCGTGGAACCGAAAAGTCGCGAGAGCATACATGCGCATAATAGCTTTGAAGAGGTAACGGTCATGGATTAAGATAGGTTTATTTGTAACACAGCAATGTGTTTACTTACAATATAATTGTCATTACAGTCCGGAATGGGTTGGGCTATAACACAATTACTGACGTTGCGGATTAGGAGGACGAATATGGAGAATCAATGAATTCAAATCCCTTTAGAATGTCTACTCGACCCCCATGGAAGACGTGAGACTACAGGCTGCCCTGCAGAGGCCTTACCGTCGCATTTCGTTCCCTAATGTTTTCTAAACGGCATCATATCGCAACATCAGCAAATATGCCATCATGGGTAGCACATGCCGTTCCATTTCCAACGTGAAATAGACTTACCAGTTGTTTTGCAGGGTACAAGACCTGCTGTCCTGTTGCCCCGTCGTCATACACGAGGTCCACACTGCAGTTTCACGCCACAGACACACCGTTTTCAAATTCGTGGTCGACTTCACAACAACATCATCGGCCTACCTAAGCAAGGAAACTATGTTTTATGCATGCAGTTAGCCCTTATAGAGCAGTGCGCGAACTCCAGTTCTCTAAGGGTTTAAAATGTTAATAGATTTTCTTTTCCTTCAGGTCTGTTTGGATCCCGACTGTTATTCGTGTGACTTTCAGTCTATGTGGGTGGCTGCGGCATTTTTTCATTACCTTGAAAACGTTGACTCATCTTCATAATCTGTCTGTCAGTTCTACTCTCTGTCCTTAACAGATAAGTTTACATATGTGTCCGAGGATCTCTTCTTGCAGACTGATCATAGTAATGGGAAACTTTTGTTTAAAGTTCGTTTGTTGATTGTTACGTGCGGTTCTTGGGGACCCCTTTGTAGTAGACGGGCCACTCACTTGTCCTGTCTTCCTTACTGCAATGATCTTTGCGGCTGCTGCTCCTTCAAGGATTGGCTTAGGCTCAGTACCGTAGGTCAACTCTGAATTTTATGGATCGTCAGCGTCACTCATTCTTCAATCAGAAACTCAAGCTAGTGTGAAACTCAGTAGAAGGAGTTAGGTCAGTACACAAGACATTTATATAGTGCAATAGGGTAAATGAGGACGGGGAGCGTATAGTCTCAATGAGGATAGGGATAACGGCGGTCAAAAGGAATTATTGAGCACTTCAGTGCTGTGTTTCTGGTGTAGGTACTACATTCACTGGAGTCGTCTTCTCAACTCTGTTTGAACCCTCCTTCTGGTCCTTAAAGTGAAGAAGAAAAAGGCTCGTTCGAAGCACAACACCACTAATAGCCGTCTTCGTCATCCTTTTTGACTTCCCGCCAACTTCGCCCCTGTATGTCATTACACCTTAATATCCATAGTATTCATATATCCTCGGTTTCGTACAGTTTGCTCTTTTGATAATTTAATGATGTGGCAGTACTACAGCTCAACCAGTTTTAGCATGGTATAAATTCTGAGTCAGCCTGTTGTACTCAAAATCTGAGTGGTCAGGCTCTGTTTCTGTCGCTTCGTCTTCAGGGACAGCGTTAGTGAAATTACTGTGGTTTTCTAACCTGTCATGCGTGCTCTGTCTATAGGATTCCTTATGCGGAAGACTTGGTCCTGTCGGCAGCCCTGTACATCTCACTATTTCATTGGGAACGACGCCTCTATATTATTTCGGACTAAATCCAACCGAATTCTGAATGTCTGGCTAACGTTGGAGACCTGGGTCTCAATAGATGTGTGATTTTTAAAGCTTTACGCTTTAAGCCCTCGGCCCCGTCCGTCACTGTAAAGCAAGGTTCTTCGACACCGGTCATGAGTACATCGTATTTCTCAGTCAGATCTGCTTGACGCATACCATTAACGTATTAGATGTTAACTCAAAATGCTAACACCTAGAGGCCATAACGTTCAAAATTAGTTGAATTTCTGCTTTTTCCGTTGTATTCACTGAATGGTTGTCAGCCAACAAGAAATCGCGGACAGTGGCCTAGGAGGTGTTGATTTAGGCCTGTGTGCATATGATTATAAACAGGTTTCCGGTCATTTCTGTAGTCGCTACTAATGTTGGGTGGCTCTTTACGGTAGCCCTTATAGGCATGGCATCCATCAGTATGGCCGCGGGTATGATGCGAGTCCGGGTGGGATTAATTGCACCGCACTACTTCACATCATTTGTAGTCATGAAGTTGTGGCAGTCTGCGCCTCCTTGCTCCCCGCCGCTTTGTCACGATCAATTCCTGTCCACCTTGTATCCCCGGTCAATCCGCTGCTGGGATGCGCGAGGCTTATCCCTAGCCTCGCGAGTGCTCAAGGCCAGTTAACGCTGCACTCTCTTTCATTGGCCGACGGACACTGTGGCAGGACGAGAGGTACATACGCGCTGGGCTCTAGGCACCCCAACTGCACTTATCACAACCTGCCTGAAGATACCGCTCGCGGCGATTACTTGCACAGCCTTTGTGTACGCACTTCCTCAGCACTAAATGTTATCCAACCCAATACGCCTTCTCTGACTTCTGATTTGGGGCCTTCTATGCCGTTGACCATACCACCCCGACAATTGGTGACGCCTTGCGAATTGCAATTTTCCGTCTTTCTTATCTACGATAAGGTCAGGCGTTGACCATGAACAATTTTCCACTGGACATACAGCGTATTTTAACACCCACTTTTGACATTCTTTCGCCCGTGCAACTTACTCAGATGACCGAACAGTTTATAGAGATGGTGGATTTTCCAAGCCATCACTTTCAGCACGCTAAACTCCCTCAACTTCTCCAGCTTCTCCTCTCTCGTAGTTGGGCATCAAACTTGGCAAGAGGACCGATGATGTAGTTTCTCTCCAGAAGCAAACAGTTTCTCCATCATCTCAAAGCTTACCAAAGTCTCCACACCACATGTCCGGTCTGCGAATTCAGTCCATCCTAGCACAGCCGCCATCTGCTGGTATCACACCACCGTTGGTTCCTTCGCCCCAACAATGGCCGACTCAGACCAGGTGAAGACAAAGTTCTACGAAGACTTGCACCTCCTCCTGGCGTCTGTGTCGAAGGTGGATAAGCTTATTCTCCTTGGTGACTTCAATGTCCAAGTAGGGACAGACTGTGCTGACTGGAGAGGGGTGTTTGGTCCTCACTGAATCGCCGGCTGCGACGAAAATAGCCTCCTCCACTTGCAGACCGGCGTTACATATTGCCTCCTGCTAACCATCGTATTCTTCCCTCTGCTGATGCGGAAGAAGGCTACCTGGATCCAGCTTCGGTCGCGGCGTTGGCAGCTGCTGGACATTGTTCTCGTTCGACAGCGTGGTCGACAGGACGTGATTGTGATCAAGGCAATTTGCGGCGCCGATTCTAAGACGGACAACTGTCTCGTCATCTCCAAGATGAAGCTGCGTATGCAAGCCAGCAGTAGGCCGCTGAGGAAGCGACGTCCGGGTAAGCTGGATGCTGTTATTTGTCTTCGCTTGCTCATCAGTTGCATTTCGGCAATCACCTGGCTCAGCGACTAGAAGACCTGCCAGCCGCATATGAAAACACATCCGTGGAGGCTCGATGGGGCCGACTACGGGATGCCGTTCACTCGATCGTCCTCGGCCGTCCGCGTCGCCAGCACCAGGACTGGTGCGGCGACAGCGACGCAGCCATCGGTAACCTACCGCCTGAGAAGAGCAGGCAGCATGGGGCCTACGTCGACCGCCCAACCGATGTGAATAAAGCGGTCTTCTATTAATGTCGTCGCCTAGCGCAGCAATTGTTGCAAGAAATGTATGACTTTGGATGGCTCGCAAGGCTGAGGAGACCCAGACATATGCCGGCCGCCGTCATTCAAAGAATTTCTTTGCTGCAATCTGGACGATCTACGAGCCCCTGACCAGAAACACTGCACCGCTCCTCATTTCCGATGGATCAATGCTTTTGACGGAGAAGTGGCAGATTCTGATGCTCTGAGCCGAGCACATCAGAAACGTTCTCAACCGCTCATTCACAATTTCCGACGCCGTCATCGGTCGGCTCCGCAAGTGGAAATCAGCGTCGGCTTGCTCCTCCGCCCTCCATTGCAGAAGCCATTCGCGGCGTGTAACAACTCTCCAACGGAAAAGCATCAGGCTCCATCGCAATCTCACTCGAAATCGACAACACGGCAGCCACCATCTTATGGAACAAATCACAGCGCTATGTCAGGAGATGTGGTGCTGTGAACAAGTTCCTCATGACTTCAAGGATGTAACTATTGTTTATCTCTAATAGTGCAAAGTCAACAAGCAAACCCGCGACAGTCACAGGAGCACTTCAATAGTCAACATTGTCGGGAATAAGTTCGCTTGTGTCCTCCACAACAGTCTTAACGGATATCTCAAGCAAGGATTCCTGCCGGAAAGCCAGTGTAGCTTCTGATGACTCCGGGGTACCACTGACATGGTGTTTGTCACTCGCTTGCTGCAAGAGCAGTATCAGGAGATGCAAACCCATCTCCATACCACCTTCGTAGACTTCATGAAGGCCATTGATGCGGTGAATTGAGAGGGTCTGTGGAAAATACTATAGAGATTCGGCTGTCCCGAACGATTCACACACATGGTACGTCAGCTCCACGAGGGATGATGGCGCGTCAGGGACAACGGCGGAATCTTCGAGGCATTCTGAGTGACCAATGGAGTGAAGCAGGGCTACGTCCTCGCCTCTGCCCTCTTCAGTCTCATGGTATCTACCATGCCGATGGACGCCTACCGTGATGGATGTCCCAGAATACGGATCGCCCACAGACTTGACGGGCATCTTCTCAGCAGCAGGTACACGCGGGTCATAACACAACTATTTACGACTACGGTCCACGATCTGCTCTTAGCCGACGACTGCGCGCTCAACGTTACGACCGAAATGGACATGCAACTGGGCATGGACTCCCTCGCCGAGAGGTACGCCAAATTCGGCCTGACTATAAACACGGAAAAAACATTGTCATACATCAACCGTCACCCAACACGCAACACTTCACTCAGCCTCGATTAACTGTCGGCGACCGCCAACTCAAAATCCCAAACAATTTTTCTTATCTCAAAAACACACTTTTCAGCAGCACGATGATCGACGATGACATTGGTCACCGGATCTCCAAAGCCAGCCAAGCCTTTGGTCAACTATACAACCCAATGTGGAATCGTCACGACCACTAACTGAACACTAAACGAAAGATGTACACGGCCGTCGTCCTGATGACACTTCTACACGGGGCAGAGACTTGGAGAATCTACTCCAACCATGAAAGGAAACTTAACCGCTTCTATCTCATCTGCCTTCGCCGAATTCCAAAACTGAGATTTTCAAGTCAGTATCCCCAACACGGAAGTCCTAGAGTGGACCGGCATTCTTAGCATTCACGCCATGATGAGACAACTGAAGTAACTTTGAGGCCGCCAGCTCGTGAGAATGGAAGGCACACGACTACTAAGACAACTCTTCCGTGTTGATGCGCCACCAGAGTTAGCCGACCGGGAGGAACAAAAAGACGCCGCAAAGACACACTGAGGAATTTTCTGAAGGGAACGCATATCAATCCTGAGACTTGCAAAAACCTCGCCCAGAACAGAACGGCCTGGAGAAGAGAAGATCGGCACTGCCACCTACGAGGTAAGTTGAATCGCCGCCACCGCCGCTTGCAAATCACAAGTGACTCGCCTCCTCAATGCCAACCATCCGCCTCATCAAACATGTGCACGCTGTCAACACGCATTTCGCTCAGGTTGGACACCTTCGGACCCAATGCACCATCAACCCGATAACGTCTACCTATTCTCCCGCTCTCGCCTCTACCTTAAACGCGGCGCCGACCGCCATCCCCGCCACCGCCAATCATTCTGTCTCCTCTTCGCCGCCACCATCCACCCTGCTTAAACCCCTGCATCGACCGCAGCGGCCAGCACCGTCACCACAACGCTATTACGAACTTTCTCCAACGAGAGCACGACGTCCGACTTTAATCTAATTTAAACATCACTACAATCCTCACATTCGGGGACATGAACTCGGTTCATGCTTATCCTAATTGCGATCACACATTCGCCTCCCACATCGGTATGGCCGGTCACTTGCGATTCCACGGTGTGGAAACTGGTGAACCAGTGCCTGGAGCAGCAACTTTCACTCGTCCTACCTGCCTCAACTGGCCCCACTGTACCCGTAAATTTAACCACCGCATGGGGCTTTTAAGACGCACGCGCATTCGAGAAAGCATGCGGTAGATAGCCACCATCTACAGCACACTATCGCACCTCCTTCCATCAGCACCCACATCTTCCAAAAACCCCACTCATCACAAGCCCACAATAGCCTCCCACGACAAAAGTAGGGATTATGCTTCTCGTCTCCTCCATATGGCTGCATTTGTGATCCGACCGTGAGATGTTCCCGGTGCGCCAAGAGCCGTGGCATGAAAGGATGCCGACTGACTAGCCAATACAGTTCAAAAAGTCTGTCCAGTTTAATGTTTGCGTGAAGTAGCAGATTGATGGGTTGAGGGCCAGGCTATAATGGCTCTGTCTTAACTGGTCTGTGGAACTCACGCACGTTGGGAATGTATATGTGTGTGTCTCTAAGTCGACGACTGTTTGGTTGTCATGCAATGAAGGGTGACGGCTCAGGCAAGTGCAGGACCACGTACCACCCCTCTGGTCATAAAGGTGCGTGAGCGTTGGACATGCGAGGATCGGCAAACCATGCCTCTCGCAGACCGGTATGCGCTGGCAGATCTCTGATACCTGGTTCCGTGTCGGTAGATGCTCTTGCACTCCCACTGGGTATGCAGTTCGTGAGCATGGGTTCCCAGTCATCTTCATCCTTTGACTCTTCCTTACGTTGTTTCTGGTTAGAATCCCGGTCAGAAGTTGTGTGGATCAGGGGGTGTGAAGTGGATCGTCAAGGTGCGGGCTTGACAGTGCTTTTTGACTCTGTCTTGATACTGTACTCAGGGGGGAAGAGGAGATATTGTGTTAAATATAGCGCAAGTCCATACGCACTATAAACTAATTGGCGTGCAAGTCACCATGCCTGTTTTGCCTTGATGTGGAGCACACGATGGACATCGTCAGATGCGACGGTCGAACTGTCAGAAGTGACTGGCTAGTGGATGACATGTCAAGCTCAGTGTCACCTCCCGAATGTTGTCCTTATGGTACTCACTGCGCACGTGAAAGCCAAACAGCCCTCTTGCATCTATAAAAACTTAGTCCATGGTGCGGGACAAGGTCTTGTGTCACAGATGTAGACGGGCTGTTTATCATTGTCGGCCACGTCCCCCAAGTCCAACTTCGGTCGTCTCAACCTTGCCTTGTCATGGAGCTAATGAGGGCGAGGTTGGTGTCGGACAAGTCTTCTGTCGCTACAAAACCACTTTATGCGTAAGTCACCGTCCCTGTACCTGCAATGTTAGGGAACATAGGCTGGGCATCGTCGTTACGGACGGTCGAACTGACACCGGCTTTTCCAACGTGGGTGGCTTGAATAAGGATTCATGCGAACAAGCATAAGGCACTGGCGAATTTTCGTCTGCTTATTGTTGAAAACTTCAATGAGGACCTTGGTAAGCATTCAGAGAACTATACGGAAACACCGGTGACGTATGTTACAAAACATACGCACTTTGGTTTTTGCATGGGATTCTAAATACTTCTATTTATATTTCGCCTGACATTCTAGCCAATACTTCCAGTGTTCAGGCCTGATGTGTAGAAATTAAGAGAAACTGTCCGTATACGTTTTTATAATCTGCATCTTTTCAGTGTGTTTCCTTGTAAAACTGCAAAGTTCTTCCCCCAATCTGTATGTGCAAAACGATGTGGCCGATGGGGAATTAAATTGCATCCACTGCTGCGAAACTCTGGCCCTACTCACTAGTAGTTAGATAGCCCAAAATGGGAAATGCTGTAGAATAAGGATAAAAAAGAGGTAAAATAAAGTTATGTCACTCAGAAATTTGCATTTAAACGTCCAGTTGCACTTAAAAAAGGTCCTTTAACGTTAACAGTTGCTCTAGGACCCTTAATGTTTGTAGAGACTACGGATGCGGGAAATGAAACAGGCAAAATGGGTCGAAAAGCTCACAGGGCCGTAACTTTCGGCATTGTGCTAAAGGTAAATCTCCACCAATTTCGACGGATTAAAGAAAGACATTCAGATTATCAGTTCAGTTCTTATTGCCTAAACTACCGACCATAATACAGTTTTCCGATAGAAAAACATTTACACTTACATTACGCCTTGCTCACTTTTGGATCGATGTCTGGCATATATCAAAAGCAAAGGACAAAAACATGTTCACTTATCGATGCCTTCTATCAGACGATCAGCAACTGGTAGAGACTTCTAAGGCGTTAGCCTTGATAAAAGTGAACTAGACTGAACTGACTGAGAACAGACAGGTCACGAGTCAGCTTGAGACTGCCGGCTTAACGGACTTAAAATATGAAGACTTTGCCTGCGAGTCAAAGGATGCAAATGCACAAAAAGAATATTTAGACAGATTGATGAACCTGGAAAAACAAAAAACAACTTAGGGAATATTCTGAAGAAATCAGCGTTAGAACGCTTGGCATTAACCGCGCTTAATAGAAAATTATGGGTAAACCAATCCGATTCGCCTGAAGGCTTCAGATTTTGGGGTTTCTCTATGTCTTCGGTGAATCA